TGGGACAACCATGACCTGGATGACTGAGAATCTCCATAGACACATCTTTAAGGCTCATCCAGGTGTCTTGTTTGCCATGCCATAAACATGCCCCATTGTTTGTAGAGGACATGTCCAAACAGTGTTTCTTCATCTCTGAGGCAACCTGAAGTCAACTTAAGGTCTTCCCATGTGAAAGTGGTGTTTTCCCTCTCATCCTGGCAGAAAACATCTGCAGTGGACCACTTAGGTTGCATGGAGAGGGAGGAGTTTTGACATGATGCAGTCAAGATCAAATATTTGCTTGGTTCCAATTGGTCCATCAGATCTGCTATGGTAGGCAACCTTGGTTCTTTTATGACTCGTGGACTTCAACTCCCAGAATTCCTGAGCCAGTCATGCTGAGGGGAAAGGGAGAGTTTCCAAGCTGAGCCATGCTGGCTCAGGAATTCTGGGAGTTGAAGTCCACGAGTGATAAAAGAGCCAAGGTTGCTTACCCCTGTGCTATGGGATCGCTCCCTCCAGTCACTGGCTAATAAGCCTCTAAGAACATCTGGTTTTAGTTACAAGAGAGACAGAACACCTCCCTTGCACAGCCCCCTCCTTTTTGGGAAAAGTTAGGCATAGCAATACCTCATGGACGTAGGCCTTTAAGGAGATCAATGTTCCCATTGGTGGAAAAAAAAACACCCTACAAAATCAGTAATTCCAATAATGTCTTCAGATCTTACATTTTACATAGGTATAGCACCTTTTTTCCCCTAACATCAGATTGGTACAGGTAGTCCTCAACTTACAATCATCATTTATTTACCATTTGAAGTTATAACAGCAGTGAAAAAAGTGACTTCTTCACACCTCATTTAAAAACGTTTTTCACACTTACAAACGTTGCAGCATCCCCGTGATCACATAACCAAAATTTGGATGCTTGTCAAGTAACTCATATTTATGACGGTAGCAGTGTCCCAGGGTCACATGATCACCTTTTGTGACCTTCTGACAAACAAAGTCAATAGGAAAGCCAGATTCACTTAACAATCGCGTTTCTATCTTAACTGCAGTGATTCATTTAACAACTGACAACTGTGGCAAGAAAGCTAGTAAAATGGGGCAAAAACTCACTTAACAACTGGCTCACTTAGCAACATAAACTTTGGGCTCAGTTGTGGTCGTAAGTCAAGGGCTACCTGTACTGTGATGAAATATTTTGTAGATGCTACAAAGTTGGCAGTTGTCAGAATTACTGGAAGCTGGAATTTTGTTTTGATTCCAACCTAAGCAATTTGATGACGTCTAGGTGGAAACATCCATGGAAGTATTTTGAAGAATTATTATTCTTTGGAATGATTGACAGTTCAAAGAAATAATATTAATCCAGGGTTGAATCACCAACCCCATCCTGATACAAATTCAGGAAAAGAGTTGATGGCAGATGCTCTTGTCAGCAAGTGGGAGGGAAAAATGGAATAGGGAAAAGCACCAGGAACACTGACACTTTTCAAGAGAGGTGTCAGTATCGCTTACATATTTTTTACACCCACAGATTATCACTCCTGAATGATCTCATCCAAGAGTTTCAGGTGGATGACAAAATTGTCATCCTCGGGAACCTCAGGGCCTAGGAGATCTCATGAGGAAGAATCTAGCCTAATCCTGAGAGATAATTCAGAAAAAAATGTAACTAATTACTGAAAACAGCCTTTTCAACAGTCAATACGAGACCTGACTGGCAGCAATGACAGTTGTATGTCAACCTGCCTGAAGGGTATCAGATTAGAGCAGTCTTTTTTCAACCTTGGCAACTTGAAGATGGGTGGCTTTCAACTCCCAGAATTCCCCAGCTAGAAGTCCAGCCATCTTCAAGCTGCCAAGGATGATAAACACTGGGTGAGAGAAACTGATCAATGGCACACAGAGTTCCCTTTTCGGTGCTGGTGCACGAAGGATGGACGTTCATCCAGAGAACCCACCAAACACAATAATGATAATTCAAAGAAATAATATTCTGTGAACGCTCCAACACTGGAAGATTTTAAGAAAAGATTGGACAATCTTTTGTCTGAAATGGTATAGGGTTTTCTGCCTGAGCAAGTGGTTGGACTAGAAGACCTCCAAGGTCCCTTCCAACTACGGTATGTTATTCTGTATTCTGTAATATTTCTTTAAATATTCTTTACTACTAATAATGTGCTCTTTGGGCTCCATCAGACTGTTTATGTTTCAGTAGACCTTAATTACTGTGATTCATTATTTTTAACTGGATTAGTCCTTTTTAATAAGATCTTTCACATCTTCTGGTTATTTATACTTTTGAAAGAGGACACCTATTTTCCATTTATTTAGTTTTGTCATTTATATCTTGCCCACCTACTCCCTTAAGTGAATAGAATATAAAAAGAAACACGGACAATTAATGCTGCATCTGCCTACAAGCTAGTTTTGCAGCAGACTGGACTGGATAAAAATAATCAACATTAAAAAAAAAAATACCTGGAGCGTCCAGCCACAGGTCATTGCAGCATCTTTTTCTTCCAAAAGTTGCTTGATGAAGGCTGGTCTATTTTTATCATGGCTGGAAAGGTTTCATGAAAAGTTCTGAGACACAATACAGTTGTCCTTGACTTATGACCAAAGCTGAGCCAAACGTTTCTGTAGCTAAACAAAACATTTGTTAAATGAATTTTGCCCCATTTTACGACTTTTCTCGCCATAGTTGTTAAGTGAATCCCTGTAATTGCTAAGTTAGTAACACAGTTGTGAAGTGAATCTGGCCTCCCCATTGGCTTTGCTTGTCAAAAGGTTGCAAAAGGTGATCCCAGGACACTGCAACCGTCACAAATCAGTTGCCACGCATCCAAATTTTGATCATATGATCGTGGGGATGCTGCAACTGTGATAAGTGTGAAAAAATGGTCATAAGTCATTTTTTTCAGTGCTGTTGTAACTTCAGATGGTTACTAGATGGGTGGTAGTAAGTCAAGAACTACCTTTATGCTATTCCACTGCTGATTCACCTGAAATGGCAGGAAATCCTAATGAATCCAGCACTGTCTGAGTGAACCATACAGATTTAAGAACCTACAGGACCTTTTAATAATAGGTAGCTTCCTTCCAAAGAATGCTCAGCCCTCATTTTAAAAGAGCTTCTAAAGAGTGCTCAGCCCTCATTTTAAAATGCTAAGGTTCACCTGCAATACCAGTGACCCATAAGCCAAGATTTCCATTTGTCAAAACCAGGATTACATTGTCACTTTCTATCCAAGCCAAACAGGGAATCAAACGATCATAGGCATGCTCACTCTAGTACAGGGGTCTTCAAACTTGGTCCTTTTATGACTTGTGGACTTCAACTCCCAGAATTCTTCAGCCAGCATTGCTGGCTGAGGAATTCTGGGAGTTGAAGTCCACAAGTCATTAAAAGGCCAAGTTTGAAGACCCCTGCTCTAGTACTTAAGAGGGGCAGGGCCTGTTACATCCTCAGTGGTTCTCAATTCTGGCAACTTCAACTCCCAGAATTCCCTTGCTAGCACATTTGTCAAGACTGAGAAATATTGCTGTAAGAATTTTCTGACCATACCCTGCAGTAATATGCTATACCCATGGCAAAAGGTTTAAAGAGGGAAAACAACACTTCAATGCCCAAATTGCTACGGACATATTAAGGCTACCCCTGGCATAAGATAGAGAACAAAGAAGAAAGTACCTCAAAAAAAATAAAGGTTGTGAGGTCATATGAGATGCCCATTAAAAAGACTTTCACTAGCAATCTAAGTGGGGCACCAGGTACATCAGTGAACAATTAATTAAGCCCTTAACATTTACCATAAATGATTAATGCAATTTAAAATACATGCAGTCCTCAACCTACGAACAGAATTGAACCCAAAATTTGTGTTGCTAAGCGAGACATTTGTTAAGTGAGTTTTGCCCCATTTTACAATCTTTCTTGTCACAGTTAAGATGAAGCACTGCAGTTATTTAGTTAGCAACACGGTTGTTAAGTGAATCTGGATTCCCCGTTGACTTTGTCAGAAGGTTGCAAAAGGTGATCACATGACCCCAGGACGCTGCAACTGTCACAAATACGAACCAGTTGCCAAGCATCTGAATTTTGATCATGTGACCATGGGGATGCTGCAGTGATCGTAAGTGTGAAAAATCATATCAGTTTTTTCAGTGCCGTTGTAACTTTGAACGGTCACTAAATGAACTATTTTAAGTGGAGGACTGCCTGTATAAATATATGAATGCCCTTTAGGGCAGGGGTCTGCAACCTGGCTGAGGAATTCTGGGAGCTAAAGTCCACAAGTCTTAAAGTTGTCAAGGTTGCAGACCCCTGCTTTAAGGGACAGTGAGCATTTTGTTTTTACAAGCGATGGGATCCAGATTCTCTGACTTAAGAAAAATTTAAAACAGTTCTTAACACGAAGAGTTTTTAAAACACACAAATCCCATCAGCTAACCACAAAGGGGACCACAGTAGGTATGGTGAAAATACTGTGCTTTCTTTCTCTACAGCTGTCCCAAGAAACAAACCAATCCCTTTTCTGAAGCAAGTATATCGCCATTGGAAGGGAACCTTCTACAGACCACAAATCAATTCTCCTTTGTTTATGTAACTATGGAGATGGGATTTGCTGGCTTGATGGGAAGCATGGCTTCCAGAGGTCTCCAGGTGTGTACGGTGATGAAGGAGACAGGTGTCCAGATCTGAAAGTGGAGTCTGATTCTTGAGGGTACAGAAGGTAGAAGCAAGTAGGCCTACTCCTATCTTGATTCTCCTGCCAAGAAAGCATTTTTTTCCCCAACGGGTGTGGCAAAATGATAACATACGCAGCTTGGCAGAAGGCTGGGAGGGGCCGAACCATGTGTGCCCATTTATGACCATGTGACATGTATACACACATATATATATAAATATATATATTAGATGAACAATAGGTAAAAAGTCATGATGGGCAGGTGCTGGTAGCAAAGGGGAGGGTTAAGTTTCTGCCCTCTGCTTCTACACACCCTTTTCTTCCTACTCCTGTCCTTCAGAAATTTCACTGGCTTGCTTACCTACAGCATTCAAGATTCATGGAACCAGCAAATCAGGAATTCCAATCTACCTGATTTTACCCACCGAGTTTTGCCAGGCTCTCCGCAGATGACCTAATCTCTACTTCTCTTGCTGAGAAAACCAGGAGCGCTTCTCATTCCAGAGAATCTGTGTATCCTAGTTCCTGGTTGCTGCTCCTTGCTTTAATCTACCAAGCTCAGAAATACTAGCCACCTGCTTCCTCGTCACCACGTACCACAATGAGCTGCAACGTGCTCCTCTTTGGACTACCTGCCTTGGGAATCTATGCGCTGGTATCTCACTGTCTTCGGAAGAAGCCACATCTACTTCACAAACCGCGCAGGTTTCCCGTTCGATGCTTGCATGTCTCCCACAGGGGTGGTAAGTTGTGTGATGTAAATTGGGTATTTGGATGGAGTGGCTTTGGGGCTAGACTAGAGGGAGGCTGGAAAGGCCAGCATGTCCACCTCAGCTGCAAGTCAAGGATGAATGAGGGAAGCAGGGAGAAAAGGCAATAAGTCGTGAGACTCCTGCCTCTGCTTCTCCTCTTGAGAAGTGGGCAGGTGGGATATTTGCATTTCTTCCTGCTGCACAGTAGTCTCAAGACTTGTAAAGCCACATTCCTAAAGCCCAAAGTAGAATGGGGTTTAATATTCCAGGGAGGCAGACTGCCTAAGATAAAAAATTTTGGAATCTGATTTCCTCTTCAGGTGCTGGAGAGCAGATTGAGAACACTTTGGGCGCCTTTAAAAAGTGAGTAATTCAATCTCCACTCTACCTCAACTTGCCCTTCTTGTGCACTAATCCTGCCCTTCAACTTCTCTTGCCAATCTTTGCATCTTCCCAGTGCACTGAGCCAGGGGACAAACCTGCTTGAACTCGATTGCCACATAACCAAAGATGGGATTGTGGTTGTGTCCCATGATGAAAATCTGAAACGCCAGACAGGGCACAACGTTGATATCAGCCTCACATACTATAAGGTGAGTGTCTCTAGATCCTTGGTCCCCCACATGCTCTGGCTTTGGGGTGTTATTCAGTTCCCTTCTATGACAGATTTTAAGGCAACGTATGTAATGTTTCCAGGCTGTTTCCCATTATTAAGTCATTAGATATGAGTCCTGCCTTTCCTCCAGAAATTCAAGGTGGAATAGATAGCACCCTCCACTGTTAACACTTTTTTTTTAAAAAAAAATCCCATTGAGCTAGGTTGGGTGGAGAGTGTGTGATTCGCCCAAAGTCACCTCGTGAAATGTATGACTGGGAGAGGATTTATGTTCGGGTTGGGCACCATTGTAATGATAAAATGATTCTTGATGAAACCACCATTGTGCCATCACAATGCAAGCTTCACCACTGTTGAAAGTGCAACACGCTATTGCAAGCACGTAACGAAAGAGGTAAAGCTTGGGTCACGGGCAGAATAAGGCTGCATTTGGATGAAGGTATTGATATCCTGCAAATGGATCTAACTTGGACCTTATCACTCCTATTTCAGCATTCCAACCACTACACCCCAAGGGCTTTACACACTTTCCAGAAACAAGATAACTTCCATATTACTCCCTTTGAACAATGGTCCTAGCTCTATGGGGAGAACCAAAGAGCTTCTCCCCAAACTTCTAGGAGTACCTGCTCTTCATCCCCTCCCTTCAACACATATGGCAAATCTCTCTCAAAACCACTTACTCTCATTGGTTGTGTCCCCTAGGATTTGCCACATTATCAGTCTTCTCTGGAGGTGACATTTTCTCCAGGTGAGTAGGACTATGAGTTGCTTTGGGGAAAATGTGCTGTGGTAGAAAGCAAATCATTTTTTCTCTTTGTCCCTGAGAAAAATGCTCAGTTCTTTGTAGCTACCCTCAACCTACCCTTCCTAACAGGGAGCTTCGCCTCTGGCACTGATCATCAGATTCCTCGTTTGGAAGAGGTTTTTGAGCAGTTCCCTTCAGTCCCGATTAACATTGAAATTAAAGAGGATAATGATGAGCTCATTAATAAGGTAAGAAACCCAACTGAGTTATTCAAATTTCTTTCCTGTCCAACATCTCCAACACCATCTTGCATGAAGTATAGATCTTGGCCAATGTCCACCTTCCAGTCTCTACACCTCTCTTGCAGATTTATGTTCACTTTTATACCTGTCAACATGAAGCTACGTTATTCACCAAAACAGTCTCTCCCACACACAGAACCATATTCAACTTGAAAATCTCTTATCAATTAAGATACAAGACACTTTCTATTTTTGTAGTAGACAAAAATATAATAATAGTAGAGGTATTCCTTGTGTGTCTTAATCACACTTGGTCAATAAAAAAATATTCTATTCTATTCTATTTCTATTTCTATTTAGGTGTGTGTCATGTATGTTTTACTTTGAGAGCGGGCAACTAAATTTCATTTTTGATGTGTGCCATTGTGCCCACGGTATAAAAATGACAATAAAGGTTATCTTATCTTATCTTATTTCTATTTCTATTTCTATTCTCTCATTCCTGTAATTCAGTCACATTCCTAAGAATATATTATAGAACATCCAGGAAGATGTTGATCTCCCAGGTCTCATTTCTGCAGTTAACTCTTTCATCTGAGGCTGCTCAAATCCATTGAGAAATTTGGATTCATCATTTTGGGGAAAAAAGGTTTGCTACAGGAATGAACTTTCAATGGGTTTTAAAACATATCTGGGATTTTACATAAAAATAGCAGTCATGGAGGAAAGGAAATAAGTAATTAAAGGCTTACATAGTTTCAAGAAATATTCACATTTTCTCCTAAACAACATTAAATTATGGAATCATAATTTATAGCAGGAACCGGCAGTCTTCTCCTGGGGAAGGAGAGATAACTATTGTTGTATAAGGCTTTCAGTTTGCTAGGACCAGGAATATCACAGGCTGCCTGAGTCACCAGAACCAAAAGAACCACAATTTTTATGTCCTCTTGACCATATAACAACAGATAGTCCTCAGTTTACAACCATTTGTTCTAAGTTGTGAAGAAAAGTTATTTATGACCCGCTCCTTGTATTTACGATCATTGTAGCATCCCCGTGATCAAAATTTGGACACTTGGCAACTGGCATGTATTTGCAGCATCCAAATGTCACATCATCCCATTTGCAACCTTCTCAGATGGCTCCCAACAAGCAGTGTCAATGGGGGAAGCCATATTTACTTAATGACCATATAGTCACATAACAACTGCAGTGATTCACTCAATCGTGGCAAAAAAGTTGTAAAATTGGGCATGGCTCACTTAAAAATGCGTATCGGCGGACGTTCAGGTCCTCATTGTGATTGGAAGTTGATGACTACCTGTATTTTATGGTGCTATGAACTTGGAAGCTTCAGAGTCAATAAAAGAATAAAGAGAGCTATAATTATCCTAAGGCAGGGGTAGGCACCCTTGGCTCTTTTATGACTCGTGGACTTCAACTCCTAGAATTCCTGAGCCAGCCACGCTGAGGGGAAAGGGAGAGGTTTCCAAGCTGAGCCATGTTGGCTCAGGAATTCTGGGAGTTGAGGTCCACGAGTCATAAAAGAACCAAGGTTGCCTAACCCTGTCCTAAGGTCTTCAAGTTGTCATCCTTGTGCCAAGAATACAGGTGGCCACAGTCCTGGCTGGTGGATTGGGAGCCCTACATACTGGTAGTCCTTGATTTACAACAGTTTATTTAATGACTGTTCAAAGTTACAACGGTACTGAAAAAAATGACATGACCATTTTCCCCAGTTATGGCAGTAGCAGCATTCCCAGGGTGATATGATTTACATCCGGATACTGGACAACTGATTCATTCTTACGATGGTGCAGTGTCTTGGAGTCGTGTGATCCCCTTTTGCAACCTTCTAACGAGCAAAGTCAATGGGGAAACCAGATTCACTTAACAGCCTGTCACTAATTTAACAACTGCAGTGATCCACTTAACAAACACGGCAAGAAAAGTTGTAAAATGGGGCAAAATTCCCTTAATAAATTTCTCACTTAGCAACATAAATTTTGGGCTCAATTGTGGTCGTAAGTTGAGGACTACCTGTATTCATATCACTGTTCACATCAAGGTGTTAGAAGAAGCTGAATGTCTATAGAGCTCCACAATATAATAGGAAAATGCGTAAGACTACCTTTGCCCAAATCAATGCCCAACAGAGAAACCCCCTGATTGGTCCCTTCAGACTCCGTTCCCATTCATCTGATTGGTGCTTCTGCAACTAGAAACTGACATTCCTTCTAGGAATCTGTTATCTGAATACATGTTATTTTGCCTTCTTCCTGTGAACACAGGTAGCACATCTTGTCCAGACATACCATCGTTCCCACATCACCATCTGGGCCTCCATCCATGATGGAACACTTAAAAAATGCCACAAAGCTGTGCGTATAAAATGTCTTTTTCTCCAATTTTACATTTTATGTTTACAAACCCTTTTTTGTTTAAAGCAGGGGTCTTCAAACTTGGCCCTTTTTATGACTTGTGGACTTCATGGCTGGCTGAGGAATTCTGGGAGTTGAAGTCTACACGTCATAAAAGGGCCAAGTTTGAAGACCCCTGGCTTAAAGCTTCAGACTGTATAAACACAGGGCTTTTTTTCAGCCGGAACGCGGCGGAACCGCGTTCCGGCACCTTTTTCCGGGCCGGCCGCACCGGAAATAGCCCCTCCCACACCGGAAATAGCCCCTCCCAAATTTTACTTGCATTCCTGTTCTCTAAAGGGGCGGTCCTAGGGTTTGATGAGGGCGTGGCCAGGTTTGAGTTCCGCCACCTTTTCT